CGTTCCGTTTCGCATCTCTACACCCAGATTCAAGCGCCATAATACCTCACATTGAGCCCGACCTTTGTCTTCAGAGTAGAATGGTATCAAAATATCTTAAATGTGCTCAAACCTGACTTACGTTGCATTGTTAAAACCTATGTATTCTCCGCCAGCAATTTTCCGATATTGAGTAATCACCTGAAAATTTCTCTATAAATGCACTAAATATTAGGTGAAATAGAAATATAAAATTGAACCTACATGGTCGAAGCGATCAGCCATATTCCAAGTGTTTTTGATAAGCGCTGTGATAATGATGGCACCCGAGTTCACCATTGGATTGTGTGGCTTGTCTGAAGTGAATAGGAATACCGGTTATAAGTAAGTTATAAGTTTCACTAATGTACGCCCCCCTAATAACTCTCACATTTGGCTTACTTTTAGCGTCAAGGCAGATTTCGTTGAAAAATCGCCCGCTTGGCTCCTGTCCCACAAAGGAGTGGACATAGTCGGCGCCTAAAAAGTCGAACGTGACACTTCATTACCAATCTATCGTGAGATTAGCTCCAATCAATATCTCTGGTATGCGCCATGTACCCGACTTTTGCTCGCAATTGTGGAATGGGAAAATATTCAGTGTTTTGAGCTGCAATAGCTAACCCATACAGAATATTTAATCGCACTGTGGAGAGTTAAAGGCAGCGATTACGATAAAGAGGGAGCGCATCGGGGAAGCATATGCACCACACGAATCAGTTACTTGGCTGCCAGGAAGCGAGTGTGGCGCTTCACGACGAAAGGTGCGCTGGTTGCTGAGCAGGACTTCGAAAGCACTCCGCCCCCAAAAGCGATCCGCCCACTAGTTTAGTTGGTGATTTGGACGAGCTGCGTTGCCAGCAGCGGCACAACTGGAGCAACTCGATTGGAGCATGCTGTCACCAAACGCGTTGCGATGAACTCGTTCATACGTCCGCTTTCTGAGCTGTTACCTGTTCATGAGTGAAAACCAACGGCCAAAAAAGGGTCCCGTTTTGCGTTTTCTTGACGGATT